TATATATATATATATATATATATATGTCCGAATTTTGAAAAAAAAATTCGTTTTTAAAATTTTGTTTCAATTTTTAGAAATTTTATTAAAATTTAAAAGGAACATATCATAATATTTGCAATCATTGATGAAAAAATTATAAAAAGAGGAAAGGGATATGTGTAATTAAATAAGTAAATAATTGAGTACCTAAATTAAATAAATAAAAACTATTTTCACAAACAATTGTGATGATACGATGATATAAAAATACATAAAGAAATAATAGGATTTAATCATTTCATATAAAATAATAAATAAAGGATCAGTATTTGAATAAATTTTTATGTTAAAATCATTTTATCATTCATATAATATTCATTTTCTCATCAGATATTTCAGTAAAATTAAGTTAAAAGTAAAAAAGTTTTAATCATTTCCGATACATTAATTGGTTCTGAAAAAAGCATTAATTATATACTTTGTATAATTGTATTTTAATGAAATACTTAAAGATACAATACCACCAATAAATGCATTATACCAGTTGTTATATATTAAGAATGCATACGGTTCTCCTCTCTAAACTATAATGCTAATTTTAAAACTATTCAAGTTTACTTTAAATACAGATTATTTAAACAAAATAAATTCAAATTGAAAAACATCATTTAAAAAGATAAAACATTAAATTTTGTAATTTATGTAATTAATTTAATGAGCATTTGTTTAATTTGAAATGAGATATAAACGATTTATGTGTTACAAAGTTAAAATTGAAAACCAAAATAAAACTGCAACATCATCGTGAATGTCATCTGTTATATGCATTATTGAGATTACTTTTCATGTCAACAATCTCAATTAGCTACATTACTTTAAGCATGTCAACACTGTGAGTGATAAAATATCATTTAGTCAGGTAATAATGTTAATTATATTTTGTTGAAGTTAAAATGAATTTTGCATACTCATCAAAGGATTCATCGATTTTACATCAAACAAATATTCTCTATTAAATATAATTTTTAATTATCATTTTTCATCCCAATAATATCACTGATATGCAAAATATATCATTTAACCTGTACATTTTTAACAATTATTGCCATATTTTAAAAATTTTCGAATAGAAATTTTATAATTTAAAAAGTTGACATTTATAAAAATTAATAAAAGAACCTACTTAAAATGAAATGCTGAAGAGAGAGAAAAAAAAAAAAAACTAAAATAAAAAATGGAGATTGAGAGATGGAAAGGAACGAAAGGTATTATAAATGAAATTTTAGAAATTCAAAATCAAATTTGCAATGAAAAACAAATAAAGCGGAAGTTTAAAAAAACGAAAAAAATGATTTATTGTTTAGGTAAAATGAATTTCTATTATTTTTCTTCTTTTTAACAAAGATGATTTATAATCATGAAATTTTATAAAATACATTGAGAATTTAAGTAATGAATATATGATAGTTTTAGCAGTTGATAGTGTCAAGATATGAGGACATGCTATTGTGATAATGATGCAGGCAACTTTTTATCAATTTGAACATTAAACAAATTGAATTGAAATTTGCAAAAGTTTTTTAAAGTCTGATAAATCTTCAAAAAAGTTGAACTTAAACACCTCCAAAATTTTGCATATTAAATTAATCAAATTCAAAAATTGTTTATTTGACCGAAAATAACCTCATATAGGTAAATTTATTTGTCATGAAATTTATCAAATATTTCAAATGTTAAAGTGCATTCACCCTTGAACTGTTCTTATCATTGATAATGAATTCAATTGAATTGAAAATTAATCAAATAAGAATTTTTTAAACTTCCTGAATTTTTAAATTCAATTTGACATAAATCATGAATGATACGATTAATGAATTTGATGAAAATTGTCTTATAGCACTGCATAAAATTGAGATTAAATGATTAAATGAATTGGAAATTGAAATAGAATAGTTTAACAATATCGAGAATCATTTTTGGGTGACATATTCGAACAATGTTATCCTCGTAACTTCATCATTTTGTTTTTAATAGATGACGAATTACTGATAATCCATGTCATTTCATTTGTATTTAATGAGGTCAAATTAATGCATTTTAGAATTAATTTAAATTTATTTTTACACTTTATCAAATTTAAATCCCAATATAAAACTGTAATTATATATGATTAATATGCATGCAAAAAAAAAAACAATTCGATGTTACATTTTTGTTCATTCTAATGCAAGTACTTGTAATAATTAGATGGAAATTTTCCAAAATTTCCACAACTTTAATCCATTACTAATTAAATTTCCAATTATCATTATTAATTTGTCACATTTTCTCCTATATCCTCAATGATTAATTCACTTTTACCTCTTCTAAATTTTCCCATCGACTTCAACTAATTCCTTCTTGAATTTTTAATTACTAAATAATATGGAGTTCTTTTTTTTTCAAATTTTAATATACTACCTTTTTTCTCTGACCTTCTCTTTTTTTTCTTTAAATTTTCAGCTTTTAAGGTCCTCCTACCTTGGAATAGTCTTAACAATGTTATAAGACTAATCGATATTATTGCATTACTCTGAGCCTTAAGGCATTTTTTTTTTTCACAATTCCTTCCCCATCTCATACTCACATTATCTTGGAAAATATTTGCATGAAATTGTCTGTCTGCCTAAGGAATAAATTTCAGGTCTCCATTAGGCAAATTTCAGGTTTATGCTAGGTAAATTTCAGGTTTTCAACAAATGTTAAGGAAAATTCAAATTTCGAACAAACGCTATAACGTAACGCATCTAATTCAATGATATAACAAAACAAATTTGCTTTCAAATGCAAAAAATTTCAAATCAAATGAGTAAAATTGATTTAACTTTCATTGATCAGATCATTCTTTTTCATAAAATTTTCACTTCCAATCAATCAATAATCGATGTCAAATCGTTCTCACAACTGGAAATGCTCTCTCATTGAATTGTTAATCAATAGTGAATGAATCAATTTGACAGTTGAAATGTCCTCAAATAAATCAATCGATAATCAATATTTATGAGCATTGTGCACTTCTTCAACCATTAATATTGCTTTGGCATGTTTCCAGCACTCAATCTGCATCTTTCATACTTCTTTACACCTTATATTTGCTGTGCTATTTCGTCATTCCTCTCACTCTATGATAAAATTAACTGAAAGCGAAATGTTTTATTTCCTTTATGGACAGGCATCTTTCCACTGATACTGACAATTTTGATCGATTCCTTTCTTTGAATATGTCGATTTTAAATTTGAAGTTTGGATTTCCTATGATTTATGGATTTGAATCTTCGATTAATTAAAATCATCTAATTAAAATTAATTTACTAGGTAAGTTACCATCATTCTACTTCTATATTGTCACATGCGGGAAAATTTGGGTTTCATATTTTAAATTTTAAATTTAGATTTGAATATAAATTGGAAACTTCCTTATTAAGGTAAGATTTTCCTGGATCTTATTCGGGCAGTCCTAATATTTTAATTGATTGACCCTGAAAAAGTAGCATAGCTGATGGGGCAGTTAGCAACACTGGTGGAAGAAAGCGCTGATTACCCGCGGGAAAAAAATAAAGATAGGTGTGGGAAAACCTTAAGTAACCAACCATTTGGGGGGAAGAATGGTTATAGCAATAAAAAAGGATAAGTATATGCAATCAATATGAAAAAAACCCTGCATACAATATAGATCGCGAATTACTAATGTTAAAATGATGCAGGGATCGATCATTTAAGCATGTAATATTTTACAGTAATTTGTCATGAACTGATATCATAGGTTGTTGGTTTATCATAATTTCGGAATTCAGACAAATCGTTCAAGTTTGGCATTTGTTTGTCTTGATTAAAAATAAAATTCTTACCGTTGAAGTTAAATTAGTTTAATTTTTATTGAATTGATTTAATCCAATTTAATAAAACTATGATTTTAAAATGTAATTTTTGACTGCTTCGTTACAGGTATGGAACCAGTTGAACCAGTCCGAGGAAATGCTTCCCAACATAAAGTTTGCCGAAAACGTGTGGTAACGAAAAATGAATTGAAAAGGGTTGGTTAAATAATTTTACATATATGTTAGATTCCTACAGAAGACGTTAGCAAAATTTCGCATTGCATTTACATATGTAAATTATGTTTTCACATATTATATACTTGTGTGAATAGGTTTCATTTGTCGTATACTTGTATAAATTAGGATAAAACTTGTCAGCTACAATTTTACCTGTCGATTCCGTATACCTATCGAATTTTTGCTTATCGTGTACACATTTCATTTGCAGGTTGCTTATACTAAATTCTCTACACTTTACAGATACGTATGTATGCCATATCAAGTGTAATTTTGCATTTCAATGGAACCATAAATTAGAATTAGTTAAAAATGATTGTTTCCGAATAAGTTTCATAATATAGGCAGTTTAAAATTTTCTTTCTTCATTTATTTTTTGTTTTTTTAAAACTACGATGTAAAAGTGAAGAAAGCTTAGATGAAAGAATATTTTTATTGATTGTTTTCAGATTTTGACATATTATACATCGCAGCTGCCTTGTGTTACTGAAGCGTGTAAAGTGGAAAAACGTGAATTAAATTCACTGGTTAAAACCCTTCAAGAGGAAGTTCGTGCTAAGGTAAGCTAAGAATCATTTCAAGTTTCCTGAAGCTTTACTGGGTTTGTGGGATGCATGGATTTATTTCGTATCAGTGTTCCAGATAATATTAAGCGTTAAACGTAGCGAAATGGATTATGAAACGAGTAGTTCATGATCTTGTAAAAGCGACCGCAAATTTTTTTCCAATTACATTGTGACAATTAATTTAAATTCTAATTTACTCCCAAATTCAGTTCTTCAAATTACAGGATGCATCAATTAAAGTTTTACGTGAAAATTTAGCAACGATGCGGTTTACGATTCGAGAGTTCAGTTGCTTCATCGCCAGTAAGCATCCTGGAACAACGGTATATCTTTTGCAGGATTGTTATTACTAATCCTTCGAAATTTATTTCATCTACTGTTATCATATTGTGACTAAAATAAAGCGTTTGATTGGATATTGTGAAAGTCAAAATGAGCTATCATCGGGTTTATGTTGAACCATGCAAAATATTTTATTAGGTTTGATGACTAACGTATGACAATGTATGTGTAATGCTTATTTTCCCGAGACTTTTGCGGTTATACCCTCATAATTTATTCTTAATACCTGAACCCTCTGAGGTAGCAAACTGGTCGACCTGAATAATTCTTACCATTCTAATCAATATTTGATGAATCACAATACATCCTCAGCTGTTTGGTAATTTGGATGTAAGGACAAGCTAATGATACTTAACTATAGTAATCATAAAGTTTACTTTTATTAGCCTTCCTGTGCGATATTTCATTTCTTTATTTCTCTAGCAACTAGCATTTTAGATTGCGGCAGCAGCTCAAACGTGGGAAAAACGTTGGAAAGCGGAAGATGAGGATGGATTATGGAATACTGCAGACTCACCAAAGGTGCAATCAGCAGTGCGTCGTTATCGGTCACATACTAAACCGAGTACATCATCTGTTGCAAACACTTCTACTGCCAATAACATGCAGCCTGAGAAGGCACAATTTACTTCACCGCAGCAGAATAATATGTTCCACGAATTTGCTCGGAAGAATGGTTTGTTTTTAAGTCTAAGTAGGACAAATAGAATAAAGTGGGGAGTTAGAGCAAAGTATTAAATAACAAAAAAACAAGTGAAATTATGCAAAATGAAAAAAGATGAAAAGGAAACGAAGAAGAATATATTCCTGAATAACTTTCTATATTGTTGTTTTCAAATATTTAAATACTGTGATAATTGCCTTATGAATAGCGATACCGAGAGTATATTTGTTCTTATAAGTGTTATGTTGTTTCCTGATGGTCTGTTTTGATTTTTCCCCATTTCCTTCGGGAAAGAACTTTTACTTGACTATTCGGAATAATGGATTCTGGAAATTTTTGAGATTTATAATGCAGAAAATGTGGATCTTGCACACATGCCATCATGTCAGATTTCCGTTTCAGCGGTCGCTATATCACGTCTAACGAATCCGAATATTACACGTAAATCGTCAGCAAATTCAGAGCAATTTATTTCGGCTTCCCTTTCAACCGCGACTAATAGTGGTAACTGCCCAACGCCACAAACTCAATCAGTGGCAACAGCCCACGCTTTAATTACTGTGAATCAGCCACTGAATTTGCCGATGCCATCGGATGTTAGCAGCCATATTCTGATGCCAACGAGTTCCCAGTATAAAACCATACAGGCTAATAATTCATCACAACTAAATGGACAAAGTAGGGTTTCTTTTTTATTAACTGATTTTGTGGTACCATATTTTTCAGACTTTTATTGGAGCTATTTTTTTCATTCGTTATGTTTTTCTGAATATTTTTCAAATTTTAATTTCCATACCAGTTGTAAAGTCAAAATTTAATACCACTTGTGTAAACTTTCGTTTCCGTCAACAGTTTTTTGTGCGGGTTATTATTGATAATTTTAGTTCAAATCTTATAGTATCCAACCTCAACTGTTTTTAAAAGAGACAGGGGACAGATAATGAATGGAGAGGAGGAGGATAACAATAATGTTATTTAACTTTATAAACGCTGTTCTATAACGAATTTAGTAATAAGAAGGCATTTTAATTGTTTCTTTCATCCTATCCCACTTTATCTCTAGTTGCGCACTGAGAATATAATCTTATTTATCGCAAGTGGGAAAAAGCTTAGTTACAGACTACATTTGCAAAGTTATTCGGATCCCCCCATACTTGCTCTAGCATTGTGAACTGAACTACTAGGAATGCATTTAAAGGAATATTTTTATTCTGCCTTTATGGTGGCAACAAAAAACCGATGACGCAGATATGAAGTATAAAAACTGTTTCTTGATTTGATAAGTGGGCGAAAAATCGAGAAAGAGCACAAGCGAAAATACCAATTCAGTCATAGCAAGAGTTTTGTTTTACATAATTTTTTTTACAGATTTTGACTGATAAAAATATCAGAGCTATTAGGGAATGGATTTGCTGTTATTTCTTCGTTGAAATGATCTTTTTTTTCATTGTTTTAGTACTAAGCTGAAATTCTTCTGATGTTGTAGACTGTAACGTTCGATTTTACTGATAGTGATGCTGTTGGTCAACTTGCTACTTGCGAAATGCAGAAATGTAGAACAATATTTTTGATGAGCTCTATGTTTATTGCAGCAGTTTTAATCGGCATTATTATCTTTACCATTTATTTTGTATTCTTTCTCATTAGTATTGTGTTATTTGAGTTGAATTACAGAAATGATGAAAAATGTTTTGGACCGTCCATAATCAATTTTACTTTGAATTATTCAAAACTAATTAAAAAAGTATAGATCCATAGAGTTGTTATTCAAAAAGTATTCTGTTTTTCAGGTGCTGTTAATCATACTCCGGCAGCCGGATATTTGAGATTGAATAGTGCAGAAACAAAACGAAAAAATCGTAATGGACCAATTGGGATCAGAAAATTTCAAAGAAGTGAAACTGTTAGTGATGTGATTATACTAAGCGATGATGAAAGTGATGAAAAAGTAGATATTATATCCGTAAGTTTTTGCTTTTTCAGATACGAAATGTTAGTAAAACTTTAAGCACTAATTATGAGCAAGAATTATTATTTGACCACGGTTTTTATAAGTTTACTGGGAAAGATTCATTCATATTTTAATTAAACCCTTCCGCAGGCGAACATATTTGACTTTTCTTAAATATCGTCTGAGGATGTATTATGCACTGAATTGTATTATTTGCTGAAATTACTGTTAAATTGTTCATAATAATTTATGCGCACGTATTTTTTTCATACTTGCGGAATAAATCTTAATTGGAGTTGAAGGGGGACGAAAAATTTGTAGCTCTAACAAAAGTGAATGTAAATTATATAAGAAAAATAGTCGCCATAAAAGTAGTCATAAAAGTAGTCGAGTGAAGATTACACATGCAAAAAGTTACACCATTAAAGTCGAATATAGAGAAGTTGGAAGCAAAATCAAAGCTATGCATATTATAGAATATTAAAAGCTTGTTTCAGGAAGATATGGTTACAGTACCTCGTTACGATTCAACAAATTCATTAGTTTGCAAAAAATCTCATCCATTAGTATATCCTAGGCTGAGGATTTATCCAGGCTTGCGCATTTCGCGCCTTCATATTACATGGTTGAACTCATTTGAAGGTTCATCTTTTTCAAGATCCATTCATTCATTTTAGCTCAGTTATTATTATGGAAAATAGCATGACAGTTAGAATAAATTCACTTCTTCCATGCTTTATAGCTGCCATGATAGAAAATCCTTAATGAATAATATGCTTCAATTTTTGTCGAAATCTAACAAGTTATGATAATTGTTATCTCCTACTTACAGATATAACAAAGACAAAGCACATTATACTAAATGTACGGTATGCTGGTGAATATTCGAAACAGGTTATTGATTTTGGCTTTTTTTTGACTGATAAGTTAATATATCACAAACTTTTATTAAAAAATTTGATTATGGCAGTTAGTATAGATCCTCTTTGGGCTCCTTATGAAAACATTTGCAATGCAACCATTAATCCTCCCATTTAATCCGTTGAATTGACGCCAGGGTGAATTTTTCCTTTCTTTGGAGAAGGTAATAAGTTTGCTCTACCGTATTCATTTGCTTTATTCCTCTACACATTCAGCATCTCTCCCAACGAAGTTGTTTTTTCAGTCTTAACTGAACTGCAAGCACCGAACAATTTTTTTTTTAAAAACCATCTGTAGTTTATTTGATTTGTAAGTCGTCCTTTGTATTATCTCTTATTATTTCAATTTAGCCATGTGAAAATTTGTGAACTTGAAAATACTATGAATTGTCTCCTTCCATGTAAAAACTGCAAAATACAAATTCCTTTTTAGATCTTCCATATTTTATATTACATACGATCAATGGTTGAAAAAGAAGAAGCCGAGGGATGGACAAGGATTTATTCAAAAGAATGTGAAGCTGGCGGGAATAGCCGTTTGCGTATTCAGTTTGATGAAGGTAAGGTCCTAAAGTGTACAATTTTTTCTTGACAGATAATCTGTATTTCAAACTAGACCGATATAATCGACAGACATTTCTTTCCTCTCATCTTAAATCTTTGGTTGGATGCATTTGGATGCATTTTGAATTTTGCTGATGATTCATAAATCAAAAAACTTGGTTTTCCATATTTGTTTTGCTAGGTCAGACTTGGTTAAATGATGCAGTCTATTTTACCGGATTTATCGAATGCGGTTTTGAGAGGTATGGTGCATATGCAGATGTATGCAAGGTGGAATTGGGTTTGCAGGACAAACAGGTACTTTTCTTTCATTTTGAACTGTATTTGTTATTATGATAGTATTTGAAATTAATTGAACTGATTTAATTAGTTGGTAATTGGATGTCGTGTTATAGAACTGTTTCATTTTTTAATTCTTCCAGATGCCCGCTAACTTTACGCGACGTTACTGGCCGTAGATATTATACTGCATATCCCGGCCACTATTACCTTCTAAAAAGTTTATTGGCTGTCATTATACCCAGACTACATAGATTTTGTCGGTGTTTATTACTTTCATATTTAACGGCGCTTATACAGGACTTTCAGATGATGGGCCAACTATTCAGATTTTTAAACTGTAGGTATATTTTTGATATTTTTTTTCTAATTTTGAGCTATCAAATGTTTCTTGCTGCTCTGCATTATATCATCCTTTAACTTTTTCAATTCAATGGAGCCTTCCAAAGATGTTCATTTTTTATTTTTCATGTATGACATATCTGTATGCACTGATTCAACTTTATACAGTCGGTGATGTGATTTCACTCCATTCTTTATTTTCGAGCTTTTATCACAATCATAGGTTGACTGCGCGGGACAAAATGAATGATTTTCTGAAATGTTCGTCTGTTTACTGTTCAGAAGATACATCCATGCATCATTTATTGGTTAAATCAATAGGGACCAATTTGTATAAGTTTGTATTTGTTAATCCTGAATCCAGAATTTTTTTTCAGCCGATTTTAGCGCTTTTTGCTGTTTTGCTATATCAAAATTTTTGCTCAAAACTTTTTTCAAGTTGTGACTGATAGAAGTTTGATTATGTTTGTTATTTACTGCTATAAAGAGAAGAAGTAATAGTGGTAGTTGTCTTTACAAAAATAAGTATTGTGTATTTATGATAAAGAGCTTTTCCATATCTTATTTTCTCAAACTTTTCATTGTGATAAAGTTTGTAGGAGGGAAGAAATATGTCGTTCGCCATGATAGTTGTTGAGATGAATTGTAATTGATTGTAATGCTGCTGAAAAGAAAAGTGGCTGGTGCAATTTCAATTGCTAATATGAGCATGAAGTTTTATTTTCAATATAAATATGAGGAAAAGAGAGAAATGAAATTAGGAAATTAAAACTGTAATTTAGATTACGAGATGGCTTAGCTCAAATTTGATTCCTGAACTATTAAACAGTTTTGATGCCAATCTTAGAAGTCTTTCATTTCCACTTTTAATTGCCATTTTCATTAGAATGTAGTTTGTTTTCTCTTTTGTTTGATAATTGATAAAGAAGAGTGATAAATAATATTGCAATAAACTTTCATTCATATTCTTTAGTAAACAAAATTCGAAATTATACCGATCAACTAAACTTCCCATTCTATTGAATTGATAATATTAACCGTTAGTAATGATTGTATGAAGTGAGAAATGCTAAATCAAATTTTTGCAAAGAATGATTATAATTTATTAAGAAATATTTCCTTCTTTTAACGATGAAACTAACATCGGCTAAATTATTAGCTACTGAAATCAAGCAATTTTTTTCCTCTTTTATATTTTATCATTTCAAATCTCACATCCAATTAATTCACCAATAATAATTACATTGAATGTATTAGTTTGATTACATCATAAAAGAAGCAGAAAAAAAAAAAAGAAAGATCTAATTGTATCATCAGTAAATACTTCTGAAAACATTTTATTCATTTAAATTTAAACAGAAAAAAAAAAATAATGATAAACAAATGTCATCCTCTATTTGCATATCCTTTCTTGGAGAAAAAGGCGTAAGTTGTTGATAACGTAATGCCTAAAGATGAGAGTGCAATTAAGCTTCATTGAAGTAGGAATGCGAGATGTGATTGCTTTTTCGATTCCTTTTTTTTTTGTTTTCTTCCAATAAATAAAGCGAAAATGAGATGTAAAAGTATTGAAAATTCATTTTAGAATTTTTTTAAAATAGTTTTGCATAATTTTCTTTTTTGTCAAATTTTAATGTGTCATGTTTTTGTTTATGTTTAAAAATTCAAATCGTTTTCATTGTATTTTCGATTATTTCAACAATTTCAAATTATACGGATCACAATAAATTTAATTATCGACTTTGAATTATATATGAATAGTAAAATAAAATGCTCATTTAGCTTATATGTTAGTTATTTGAAGGAAAATTAAACCGTAATTTCAATCTACAAATCTCTTCCGGAAAAGATTGCAAATTAATTGTTCGACAATTTATGAAGAATGTAACGGGAACGAGAAAAAAATGATCAATAAAGGATGTTTGATCGAACAGTTTTTTTTTTTTCGATTTTAAGCAAGAAATTTTCTGTTTCTACGATTTTTTAGCAAACAGATGGATATATTCTGCAACTATTCCTTGCAGTGATTGAACAAAACAATCTATCATATTTATTTCACTGATTCAAATTTAATCGTTCAGAATATCGAGACGATTTATTCCGATGTTAAAATATTAATTGCCAAATTTCAGGTAGGGTTATTCATATTCAAAAAAATTTTTAATCAATTAAAATCATGAAATTAAATCTTAATTTCATGATTAAGACATTCCATATTATGAATTTGTATGTAGCATCATTACATTAATAATGACCATTCATAAATGAAAGGAATGCTAATTATAACTTTTTTATAATTATATTTTTAATGGAACAATAATAAATGTAGCAACAAATCATTTATATTTGAGTAAGATTGTATCAATATGATAATTCATTTTGATTAGCCGAATTATTAACTTATCAGATATATGATAATTTGTAACAGTTTTATTGTTTTGATAATTTCACTTATCATATCAAACAATAATTACATCAGATAAGTGTTCAATAAGAAAAAAAAACAATATCATAATCAATCATAATTGTTGGAAATTATTTTTATAAGAAAATTTTTGTTTGTTACATTAACAAAAATTAGTTCATAAAAGATTTTTTAGTTTCCGACCAATTGATTAAAATTAAACAAACAAAAAAAAACCACACAATAAGTAAACATTTATTATCAAATAATTTTATCATATATTGATCAATTAACAACTAGCATTTCCTAATGCAAATTGATGAGTAATACTGTTTGATAATTTATGTTTTTATTCTTTATCAATTATTTTGCAACAAAATTATTCGAATTACTTTTTAAAATACAATTAAAGGTGATTTAAATATTGTAATAATTAAAGCATTTAATTGATATGAAAACAATACTTTATTGCTAATATTAGAATATTTAAATGCTTAAAGTAGAATGAGCAAAATTAATTGAATAGGAAAGAAAAGAATTCTTGATTTAATTTAATTACTTGAATTTTTGGTTTGTTACAATGAATTTATTCTCAAGAGATTTGAATGCTTTCTGAGACAAAGAAATGAGAAAAATTGAATAACAAAGTGAGGAAAATTGAAAGATGAAACTGCTAATAGATACTTAAATATAACCTAGCAATCATCACCACCACATAATTAATGATGATGACACTTGTCAGGCATTATTTTTATGAAATTATGATTCATAATTACTTACTTATTTACTTACTACTACTGTTATTACTATTACTACTACTACTACTACTACTAGTACTACTATTACCACTTGCTATTTACTACTACCACTGGTACTATCATTATCATCATTAGCAACGATACTTTTCTCATCATATCAATTTAATCTAATTTAACAATGCTCCTTATATTACGTTTAGATTTTCGAATTTAGAAATAATTTATCGTACTTTAAAAAACAATAAACAAATTGTCTTTTGCCAAAAATATACTGATTGTCATTTAATTTAGTAAAATTTCGAATGGACAATTTTATTTTGGCCCATGTGACAATGATATTGTCGTATTTACACACTCCGATTCAGTAAATAAAACACATTAAACATGCGATGTTTTGCTAAAAATAAAAAATTCTAGGAAGAAAATAAGCCTTAACATTATTTTTTTCCTTGCTTGCAAATATAATCTCTTGTCTAAAATAATAAGCCTAGTAATGCTATAGAGATCTATTTAATCCATTCATTGCAACACATACACATACACACACACACACATACACACATACACACATACATGCATATAAATTTACTGAATTATAAAATAGTAATTTTAATACATATTTAAGTTTAAATGAATTAATAATATTGTTGATATAACAGTTTTTCCAAACAAACATATATATATATATATATATATAACTAGTTTGAT